ATGTATCAGTGACTGTGAGTTTTGCAAAACTTGTCATAAGAATATTTTATTAGTGTTAATGTTAACCACACCAAGAATATTTAAATACACTGAACCATGTGTTCAGCTTTAATGGCTGTACGCCTAAGATTTACAGAGGAAAAAATTACCTCAAAAGTACTTTTTTTTCCATATGATATATATGGCAACAGAATTCATATACACAATACAATACAATACAACTTTACTTATAAAGCACTTTAAAACAACACTGTTGGCCAAAGTGCTGTACACTAACACATACAAGCATAAAAACTATGAACTCAACAAATACCATAAAAGTAAGTGAAATATATGAAAGTATATAAATATATGAAAGTTTCAAGGTAGACGAGTCAAAAAAGTATACAATTCATTAAAACAGCTTCATTACTTCAATTCATTATTTGATTACAGCTCCAAAATACACATTTATACAGATGAAGAAATAATTTCATGTCAACAGTTTTACAGCAAACACGTAAAAAAATTCACCATTTAACAAGTAACTATATCGATATTTTAGTAAATTGGTAACAGGAAAAACTGCAGGTCATAACATTTAATGATTCTTTATGAGCAACATTCACCCTTCCTTTGCAGCTAACTGGGCCCTCATTAATTTCATAACATTTGATTCATGTACTGGGATTACATAGATGATAGTTTAAAGAAAATCCCAAACCTGGGCACACGACTTTGGGTAGTTTACATCAAAAACACAAAAAGCTTTAAAAACAGCCATCAACAGCAGCACCCACAAGAGATGGATGCTCCAAAGCAGTTCCGTTTATGATAACAAAAGCTTGGGAACAACATTGCCTGTTCCCAAGCATGAGTACATACAGATACTCTGTTGCTGCATTGTCAAGATCCTCCACCATGTGTGTACCAACCTGGTGGAGGGAAAAGACACAAAGCAAGCCGATAGTGATTTTAAAAATAAGATGAACATTCCCCATTACTAATTTGTAACTGTTTCTTGTTTGATACAAAACCTCACTACTGAATATGACAGACACACAGTTGAAACCAGAAGTTTACATACACTATTTAACAGACACAGGGGCAGCACGGTGGCGCAACTGGTAGAGCTGCTGCCTCTCAG